GGCCCGAACCATGCCAGCCGTTCCCTGATCTCCCTGTTGGTCGTGATTCGTTTTCCCGAACGGTCGGTGTTGCCACAGCCAAGTTCTCCCGGTCTAGCTCCATTCATTCAGCAATTATGACCCGCTTGGCTTTGTTGCTGGCAATACCTCCAAGAACTCCCAATAGTTCCTTTAATGTGCTGTGCTTAAGCTGTGTGTACCAGCCTTCCATTCACTGTACACCAGTGCTTCCCTTGGATTCTTGGTGGAGGAATAAGGGATGATCCCGCCGCTGCCAACCTGTGAAGGTCTGAATATGTGTTACCATCAGTCATTCCCTTATTCCCATAAAACAATATTGCCAATAATCCACAGAGTAAAATATCGCTGGTATCGCAAAATAATCCACACATGAGCCAAAGCTTAATGCTGGAACAAGACTGGTTTAATGTAAGCAAGGGCATTCAATTTATACAGCCTCCTCTGAGCCAGCGAGATAATTGAGTTTTAGAAACATACTAAACGTAATTATCTGCTGGCCAGAAAAAGTTAATTTCACATTTTTCAGAAATATACTTTATATGCATAAAAACCCTACAAAAACATATCCCTGGGTAGCTTGATGGGAGTAACATACTAAAAATTCAAGCAAATCCCTTTGGTACTTTTCGAACGGCACCGTGTGGAAGTTTGACCGGCTTGCCACGAGGTTGTATCAGACCAAGAGTTCCATAGCATTGGCAGCAAAAGCCGGTCTCCGTTCAGATGGATTTATATGAAAACCGCCATAGATGGAGTAAAGCTAATTCATGTAGAATGCTCCTCTTGTTCGTCTGTTTGAAACTCCCGAACGCCATTAGTCTACCATATGGGGAAAGAGTACGTATGGGACTTCCATAAATAAATAAAATACCATTACATAGCAGTAAACAGATATTTGAAGCTGCTGGTGCCTCTGGAGTCCCACGGACATCAAGTTGTAGAGTCCTCCAGAGTTTTGCAACTGTGCATAAACCTTCTATTCGGCCACCACTAACCAATGCTCACAAGTAGAAACGGCTGCATTGGGCAGAAAAATACATGAAGACTAATTTTCAAACAGTCCTGTTCACTGATGAGTGTCGTGCAACCCTGGATGGTCCAGATGGATGGCGTAGTGGATGGTTGGTGGACGGCCACCCTGTTCCAACAAGGCTGCGACGTCAGCAAGGTGGTGGTGGAGTCATGTTTTGGGCTGGAATCATGGGAAGAGAGCTGGTCGGCACCTTTAGGGTCCCCGAAGGTATAAAGATGACCTCTGCAAAGCGTGTGGAGTTTCTGACTGACCACTTTCTTCCTTCTGTACCAGGGAAGGACTATGCTTTCCGTAATAAAATCATCTTCATGCATGACAATGCACCATCTCATGCTGCAGAGAATATCTCTGCATCAATGGCTGCTATGGGGATAAAAGGAGAGAAAGTCATGATGTGGCCTCCATCCTCCCCTGACCTCAATCCTATTGAGAACCTTTGCAGCATCCTCAAGCAAAAGATCTATGAGGGTGGGAGGCAGTTTACATCCAAACAGCAGCTCTGGGAGGGTATTCTGACATCGTGCAAACACATTCAAGCAAAAACTCACAAGTTCAATGGATGCAAGACTTGTGAAGCTGCTATCAAATAATGGGTCCTATGTTAAAATGTAACGTGACCTGTTAAAATGTTTCAAAAGTTAAAATGTTGTTATAAGTTTGATTGAAATAGCATTTGATTTCAGTAAATATTCTGCAAACACAACAAATTTTCAGTTCTTTACAACCTATAAAGTGTTTTGAAACTTACTATGCGTAATAAATTTGGAACAGTGCATTGTAAGTTTTTTATGTTTAAAAAAATACTGTTCTCATTAGGAGGTTTGTTCAATAAAATTTGAATTGTACTCTTTATAACATGATAATTATGCTGACTGTTATTTACATCAATTATTTAGGTAAATGAGAAAAATATAATTTGCAATAATTTGGAACAGGGTGTATGAATGTATGTCTGTGTGTCAGTGTCTGTATGCATGTATGCCAGTATTTATTTATTTATGAATGTATGTCTGTGTATGTATGTATGACCGTGTCTGTATGCATCTATGTATGTCTGTCAGTATGTCTGTTTGTATGTATATATGTATGTATGCCAGTATGAATGTATGTATGCCATTATGAATGTATGTGTGCATGTTGGTGTCTGTATGTATGTATGTCCTTATGCATGTGTGTCTGTATGTTAGTATGTGTCTGTGTCACTATGTATGCCTGTGTGTCTGTCTCAGTATGTGTGTGTCAGTATGTATGTCTATATGCGTGTATGTCTGTTTCAGAATGTGTGTCTGTTAGTATGTATCTGTGTCCTTTTGAATCATTGTGTTTGTGTGTGTATTCCTGTGGGCAGGATTTGTAGGCGGACCCTTCGGGCTGAATTGGAGGCGGGCCCCCGGGGGCCCAGACGCTGAGCTGAGTTAGGGGCCCCAAAATTTCTGGTGGCGGCCCTGATCCCAGCCTTCAGGCCTACCCACTGGTCAGCCCCCTATACCACAACTTAGAAGATGCTTTAACTGTGGGCAATCGGGTCATTTTAACCCTTTAAGGGCCAAACTTCTGGAATAAAAGGGAATCATGACATGTCACACGTCATGTGTCGTTAAGGGGTTTAAAGGGGGTGTCCTGCCCCAAGAGTCCATAGACCGGCTCCCCCACAGGATGGGAGACCGACCAGTTATCCCGCAACCAATCACCCCGCTGTCAGTTACCCCTTAGCCAGTCACCCCCACTGCCAGCCGCCCCTCCGTTGGCCCTGACCAAGCTCACCTGAATCTTCTGCGCTAGGTAATTGGAAAACCTGTGTCACCTACCCCTGTCATGGCAGTGTCTTCAGGGGATAAGGGAGGGCCCCTAGCCACGGTGGTCCTGCCCGTAGAAAGCCACCCAACCACCTTCTTAGATGACACAGGCGCAGCCAGAAGCGTCCTTAGGGAACAAGACCTACCTGACTCTTCATGCCTGTCCAATATCGATGTCTCTTGTGTAGGAGTAGATGGCACTCCTTGCTCTAGCTCACTAACCCGGCCCTTGAAAGTTGCCACCTTGCCTGATCTTCTAGCCCGCTTTGTGGTGTCCTCAACCTGCCCTATAAACCTATTAGGTGCAGATGTCCTCTCCCGCTTGCAGGCTTCTATCACTTTCACCCCAGATGGCCGGATTCAAATGTCTTCTCCCCTTTCTGTTGCCGATACTTCGGCTCTCTGCTCACTACCCCTCCTACTCCACATGGAGGAGCCTGTCAAGAATGCAAGATACAAGACACCTCCCCCAGCGTCTTTGCCAGAATACCTCCCAAGCTGTGGTCCACAGGCCCAGAGGACATTGGCCGCCTCCATATTCCCCCAGTTCTGGTGAAGCTCATCCCAGGAGCCAGCCTGCCCCGTAAACCGCAATACCCTTTGAAGCCTGCACAGGCCCTTGCTATCTCCCAGCAGGTTAAAAGCCTAGTGTCCAATGGTGCCTTGGTCCCCTGTGAGTCTTCCTGTAACACACCCCTGTCCCACAGGAAAAAGAAGACTGCAAAGGGAGAGCCTGGGAAATACAGGATGGTTCAAGACCTCCAAACTGTTAATGAAGCTACCGTTCTGGACACCCTCATGGTGCCTAACCCACACCTACCTCTAGGTATTTCACAGTGGTGGATCTGGCTAACGCATTCTTTAGTGTACCCCTGGATCCTTCATGTCAATATCTGTTTGCCTTCACCCATGCATGCCAGCAATACACCTGGACTGTCATGCCTCAAGAAGCACAAAATTCTCCCAGCCAGTTTGCAAAAGCAACGGCTTCCATTCTGGACTCATGGCAAAAGGCCCACACCGATGTGGTCCTGCTTCAATACGTGGATGACCTCCTCCTATGTGCTGATGACCTCCCCACTGCTGAGCGTACTTCTGAAGATCTCCTATGTTTTCTCGCAGAGCAAGGATGCAAGGCCTCTAAACAGAAACTGCAGTGGTGCCAACCCTCCGTGGTCTTCCTGGGTCATTGCCTCTCACATGGTACCCACCACCTCAACTGGGACCAGGTGAAAGCCATCAGGGCTATTGCTCTCCCTACAACCCATAAGCCCCTTCATGCTTTCCTGGGCCTAATCTCCTACTGCAGCGCCTGGATACCAGAGGCCTCCCTCCTCATGCAACCTCTCAATGATGCCCTTAAGTCTGAACCCTTCTCCCTGTCCCCTGAGGCATTGTCCTGCTTCTATGCCTTGCAATGTGTCATCTCCTCTGCCCCGGCCCTGGGCCTCCCCAACTACAAGAAACCCTTTAAGTTGTTCGTGTCAGAGAGACAGGGGCATGCCACTGTGGTCCTCACTCAGTCCCATGGCTCACGCCAACGCCCCAATGGATTTTTCTCTTGCCAATTAGATGCCTCTCCTGCCTTAGAGCTGAATTTGCAGCACATGCCCTCATTGATAAAACCAATGATTTGGTACTTGGCCATCCTCTTGTCATCCTTGTCCCTTATGACATTGCTGCTATCCTTAATCAAGTACAGCCCAAACATCTCTCTGCTGCCCACCACCTCCGCTTGCAGTGCACTCTACTACTTCCAGACAATGTGTCCCTTCAGAGATGTTACTCTCTTAACCCGGCAACTCTTCTGTCACTTCCCAAGAGGGGGGATCTGCACAGTATTGGTATAGTCTAGACATAGACCCAGGCTACAGTTTTTTCCTCCTAACTCGAATTATGCCCCCTGACCCACATGTCGTTCACACTTTCCCTCACTGCACCTTGTGGTACAAACCCACCCCAGGTCCTGACCCTCACTATGAAGAAGACCAATTGGTGGAAGTGACATTCACCATAACAGACCTGTTCTGCGATTCTGAGGGAAACAGCATGGCCCTAGTCCTCCTGCCCCCGGAAGCTACTCACCTATACCATCACTGGGAAACAGCCATCCTGCACATCTCATTAACCAGGTCACCTCAGACCTCATGGAAAGAACTTGGCCCTCTTGCAAAATTGTGGAGCACTGAGGACCAGGCCTAGCTCTCTGAAAAAGGTATCACCAAACAAACCCTGAACTGGAGTGTGAATGGCTTTCCCCAATTCCACACAGAAGATGCATATACCAAAGCTCCTTCCACAGATCAAGATCTGGACTTTTGCTTTAAGCAAATCTGGATGATTGCTTTGAGCAAATGAAAATAAAAACGACACACCTCCCAACTGTACATGATGCTGTCTTACAGGAACCTGACCTCACCCTATTTGTGGATGGCTCCAGATATGCCGAAGAACAAGGCAGATACCGTACTGGATTTGCAGTCACCACAGTGGATGCAGTACTCCAAGCATCCTCACTCCCCTCAATCATGTCTGCACAAGAAGCTGAGCTACAGGCTTTCATCACAGCATGCAAAATCTCTGAAAGAAAACGCGCCAATATCTACACCGACTCAAGATATGCACTAGGCGTGGCCCATGACTTTGGAGTAATCTGGAAAACAAGAGGATTTCTCACAGCAACTGGCATACCGGTCAAACACAGCATGGCTATCAAGGACCTGATGGATGCCCTACTCCTCCCTGAAGAAGTGGCCATACTCAAGGTAAAGGCTCATGGGAAACTGAACTTGGATGAAGCACGAGGCAACCATCTAGTTGATCAAGCTGCCAAGCAAGCAGTGTGTGCACCACGGGAAGTGGACAGAAGAGCGTCCACCAGAGAAACCCTCATATTCACCATGCAGACCTTACCCACAGACTTCAAGTTCCTGAAGGAACAACAAGCAGCTGTTGATCCTGCTCACCGAAGTGATATGCAGATATGGGGTCCCCGAGGTAATAGAAAATGATCAGGGACCAGCCTTCACTGCATTAGTAACCAAAGAAGTCTGGGCAGCACTAGGGGTTACCCTTGCATTCCACACACCCTATCACCACCAGAGTAGTGGCAAGGTAGAGTGCATGAATGGCACCTTAAAGGCTAGAATGTTGAAAATGGCCCAACAAACTAACCTGTCATGGCCAGAGAGTCTCCCCATTGCCCTGTTTAGTGTAAGATACACACCATGAGGGAGGTTTGCCTTGTCCCCTTATGAGATCCTGTTTGGATCAGCACCCAGACTCGAATGCTATTTCCCCCCAATGACTCCAACTCTACTCTGATGTATTGGTTGATTATGTTACTGCTCTCTCTCGTGCGTTGACCAAAATCCATGCAAAAGTGTTTTCTTCCATTCCAGATCCCGAGTCCGATACAGGTACCCATCGATTGCTCCCTGGTGATTGTGTCCTGGTAGAGAAATTCATGAGGAAACACTTTCTCGAGCCAAGATATGATGGTCCTTTCCAAGTCCTCCTAGTCACAGTCTGTTAAATTGGCACAGTCTGTTAAATTGGCCCACTGCAAAAAGGTTCCGGCTACAGAGGAGGTGGACTGTCCTAAGCAATGATCATCCTGTACATCTTTTTGCTACTAGGCCTGACAAAAGCCCAACAAGTAGCCATTACTAAAGATAACAATGCATTTACATTTTGGTACAACTCATCCAACACACATGTGGCCACCTTTGCATTTGACTATTGCGAGATTGTCAGTTGTCCATTCCCACACTCATTGATGCCAGCATTATATAAGGAAATGCCCTGCATAAAAGACCCATATATATGTGTTACAGACAGGTATTGGGGATATGACTGTGGTTACTGGAGGGTTGGAATGCAGGACCAGATTGGGGCTACAGACTACAGAGTGCCTTAGACAGGAAGGACAAAAATGGAGAGTCCTAATTAAACAGAATAAAACTAGGAGGAGGGAGCCCAATGAAACTCACCCTAAACATACAAAATCCTAGCCCCGGCTGTGATGGACCGCTGACACTCCAAATGAGTACCTCTGCCAATCGATGCTCCTAGCGCTTGCCGAGGACTCCGAGCACTCCAACCGACACCATCAGAACTGCGGACCCCACTTCTCGCCGTCTCTCAATCTCTCCTTAAACAAAGAGAGTGTAGCAGGAACAAATCAAGCTCTTACAAGAGCTTACTCTGGGGAGTAAGTGATTATAGCA